GTTACGTTTTTTTTTCCTTCATTTCTTTGTACACTGAATGTTACTGGAGGGTTTTGCGTGAGGATAGGTTTCTTGTGTCAGTATGTATACCATAGCTTTCTCAAATTGCAGATACGTCCTCTGATTGCTGTCCTTTATCATATTATGGATTCTATTGCTACGATAGATATGTTGTGCAGTTTTGCGGTTTATGCCAGCAACAGGGCTACAGGTCCGTCGACTCTGAATGTTTTGCTTGTTGTTACCTAATTTTCCAAAGAATCAATGGTCCCTTTGTACCATTTGATTCAGTTTTACAGTTTCAATATCTATTATGGTTTGTTTCCAGTTCGTCCGCGCTTCGGAAACAGTATTATTATAAATGAGGGCAGGCACCCACTACTTGATTATTCCATAGGAGATCAAGCAGTTCCAAATGACACGGTAATCTTCTTTGAATCTACAGTAGGATCTAAAGTGTCCGCCAAAATGGCTTTTTCACACCCTTCCACAACGTCTTCTCTCATCTGACCAATTCACTGCAAAATTTCATGTTACGTTCTCCAATTTTTATACCTTTAATTCATTAGGAGAGAAAATTGTGAGACACAAGTTACGGTGAATTTCGGTTCTACCTAAACATGAAAAATTACGAAAACTAGATACGAAGTGTACTTCTGACCGCAATTTTATGTCCAGCTGGTAGTTATCTTACCAAAATCTTTTTCAGTATCTCACCATGGATTCGCGTGTTGTCATCATAACGGGACCCAACATGGTTGGTGTGAAAAGTAGTTTTTTGTTTAATATATACTTGGCTAATTCAGCAGCACTATATCAGAGCCGTCTGTTTATAGTCAAAAGCTTTTTATCGTTGTTTGACCAGATCTTCGTGCAGGATACTAGCATTTTACGAGTTTGGGAATTCCAGACCGGAAAATCAACGTATCTGAAACAAGTTTGCCAGCTGTGCATTTTAGCACAAAGTGGTTGCTTTGTTCCTGCGAAAATTGCCATCCTTCCCGGTAAGCTAGCAATAACGTTGCATTGAGATCTTTGATGTCTTTGACTGTCTGTAGGGACTTTTTCCGAGAAGATTATTCTTCCCAATAAGGGAGGACATTCCCTAGTCATTATCTTCATGTGATGAGAAGATCGCTGCCCCAAAACGGTTAAGGTGGAATTGATGTAAAGTTAGATCGCACAGATTTCAGTGTTTCTCCGGATCTCTTCTCGAGTTGGCCACAATGACAATCTGACTAAAAACCTGTCGGCATTTGCTGTTGAAATGGACGAGATGGCTCTTATACTACAGTATTCAGATGACCGTACACTTCTTGTCATTGACGAATTAGCCCGAAGTAAGTGACATAAACCTCAATAGAACCCTGAGTGCACAAATCATAGATTGTACTCGAAGTCATTTAGACAATCCGCGCAGTGCCAGTAATAGACTCCTAGAAAAGCAAACTGACAGCAGATGCTGTGAGTGTAGAATGTGTGGGGTGGCGCCTGTGTATAACTGCATCAGAAATGTAGATACACCTTGTTCTGCCTGTGACGAGACGTGTAGTCTTGCTCTTGTTTGCTATCGATGGTCATCAAGCGTGTCACTATGTGTCCGGCAATCATGAAGGAATTCCACAATGTGTCAAAGGTTAAAAGCTGTATGCAGCTTTTTTTGATTGAGTGATTTTGATTTCTTGATTTTTCTCCATTCCTGCATTACTGTCTCGTTTTTGAGACAGACTCCTACGGCACAAAATTAGGACGCTCAAGGTGTACCGAGTCCATATGATTATCATTTTGCAAAGTGTTCTTTTAACACATATTAAGCTATTATTGTAGACTTTCTTGTTTTGTTTCGCTTTTTATTTGTATTCCCTCGCCGATTTAGGTACGTCTACAGAAGAAGGCATTGGAATATGTTACGCAATCATCGAAAAGCTAATCAAACAAAAAGTTAGAGACATTTTCGTTTTAATTCTTTTTTGTTTAATTAGGTTACGAAACAGATTTTCACTTCTTCAATCATTCATGAGTGCTTTTATAGACGTACACGATCTTTGCCACGCACTTCCTTGATCTTGCAGCACTGGATGTTAGCTATTCTGCTGTTGAAAAGTTAGTCAACTTACTTTAGTATTTCCTTACTTCTCACTAAAAGTCGTGATTTCAGCTTCCATTTTCCGTCCCAGGTCACCTATGTCAATGGTCAGGAGCAGCTGTGTCCTAGTCATAAACTACATAGGGGACCCTACAACGGACCACTGTATGGTTAGTTCTCAATTCTCGCATGCAAATAAAACTTTTATCTGATGCTTTTGGATGTTTTAGGCTTTGAACTCGTGGAGCTGTCCACATTTCCTGAAGAGGTGACTGAATCTGCTCGTAAATTAGGCCACTATTTGCACGATGAAGCTGCTGACAAAAGGTATTCCTCAATGCAACAAGATATTTCAGAAATTCTTCGTACAGTCAGCTAGAATCAACGTACAGCCGCCTATTGGCAGCTGCGATCCGACCGAAATCCACCATCAGGGCCGAAAATACATAGAATTTTTGAAGAGAAATACCTTGATTTCTAGGGTGATGAATGCCGACACGCTGATCCATCGCGCGTTGAGTAGAAGCGCCCATCATTTGCGTCAGATAGTTGCTTCTAGGAATATAGCTACGGAAGAATGTCTAAAGAAGTTAGTTCTCTTTCATTATTATGCTTTCATTGATAAAAGATCTCGTAACTTAAAATCTTACTCCCTCGTCAAAAGTCTCATACTGCTCGATCTCATCAAAATTTTATAAATTTTGAATGACTAGCATGAAGAGTGAGCTTCTCGAATCATCTGTAGGTCTCGTCCCTCATACAAGCTACCTCGATGGGGTCATGAGGGCGTGTCATTATTGAAACCCATCGATCTTCGATCTGATCTTGCTTCTGGAATGCGTAAGCTGGTGGCAGATTTTCTGAATCCGGATTCGCTAGCGAGTTGCGGGGTACACCAGCGCTTTAAACGATGCATAGCGGCTCGACAATCTTCTAAAGTGGCGGGAGCCCCTTTCGTTCGCACGTTGACTCTCGTACGAATACACGGATTCGCGAGTCAGACACCTCCGTACGGGTCACTCTTGAACAGTTTTTGTTTGAACATTTTTATAATACGCTCACAACGTGTTTAAACCAGACTGTCGTTTGGCTATCAAGACAAGTCGTTGTCAGTGGTTGGTAGCAGCCAATCTGACGAGTTGCCAGTCGACTTCTATTCAGGAAGGCAATGACATCATAATCTATCTGGTCTACGTCACGATATTTCGTGCACCGTTGATGTGCAAGCAAATATTTTCGCTCCTTAAGAACCTTATATCAATTTCTCGAGTTTGAAGCAGGGTCAACCGTCACGTTAGACAAATTTCAAAAATTTTACGACCCTCCCTTCTGGAGGGCCTCGATACGACCCTTCCCCCAGGGTGCCGTTGGTACTTTTTGGAAATTTTTCACGACCCCGCTCCACCACCATGAGACTCAGGAGGTCTTTGAATTCTGAGACCAGTTGACACAGCCCAACTCCACCCACTCCTCCAAAATAGCCGTTGAGCGGGGGGGGGTACATATCCTCCGACCTTGCGAATACGACTGCCCACCTTTTTGTCGGCCGAATACGACCCCCCTCGTTGGACATTGTCCAACGGACTGTTGACCCTGGTTTAAAGTTGTGGAAAAATCGACTATACCTCGAGGGGCTCGATTTAAGTAACATTGCAAACCCAATTTTTTGAAATGTAGCGCGGTAGACTTTTCTTTTTCTTTTTTTCTTACATTTTTTTCCATTTTTTTTTGAACTTTTAATAATTAAAAAGTTATGCACCACAGCAATTCACACAACATATAATAAATACATAGTGCTGTCCAATTCTCAGAACAAAGAGGAACTCGGACATCAATATTTGTCTCTCTTCAGAAGCTTGAATGACATCCGGAAGCATTTGCAAGCAAACCTCTCTAAAGCGAAACAGGCGATCAATTATGAGGGCTGAGCATTGTACCATAGACTGAATATTTGGAAGCAACAATGTCAAAGAATTTTGAGAAATAATGGCACTCATGTCGTGTTGGGGGAGGGGAGGGGGCATCCAACTGAGTGAGTTACTTACAGTACTTGGGACTAAGCCTCAGAGAGGGAAGGGGCTCTGAGAGAGGATGAAGGTTATTTTTCTTCTCCCTGGCTTTTCTCCCCTCTCTTGAGCTTAATCATTGCTTCTCCTCCCATGGGCCGTGTTTTGAATGTCCCCCTCCACTCCAAGAACATGAGCATCGAAGTAGTAATTGAGATAGCTTGAAACTTGAAACTAAACGGTACTGGTGCTTTTGTTGAGAATATAAAATGGAATTCATCCGAACAGGATGATTCGGTTCTAGCCACTCCATAGCCAGGATTCCTTTGAGCGCTGCGTCCGTATAGCAATCTTTCCTGCTGAGGCACTAACGATGACGTTGAAACCGAGACTCCCCACTCGGTAAATGAAAAATCGCTAACAATTTTCCTGGTCTTGTGGGGCGCATTGCTCAATCCGAATCCTTTAAGAAGAAATAGTATGGTCGTTTCTGCCTCCCATTCCTTTTCAGCCGCGTCCTATTTTTCATGAGACTGGGACGTTAATTCTAAGTTTTCTATGCTTGAAAATTTGTTGTTGAGCACTGTTGTTTTTTGTTTCTGTTGGCCAACACTTCTCTATGAAACTTGTGCCTCACTTTCGTTGAATCTGTAAGTATAGTAGATAGATAGATTCCGAAGATTAGATTCTGTAAGTTATACTCTGTAAATTGTTATCATAATGAGTAGATAGAATAAAAATTTTTCTTCAAAAGCAGCGAAGGCATTCCAGCCTAATGTCAAATTAAGAGCTAAAGGCTTGAGCAATCCAAGCTAGATGAATTTCGAGTGGTAAAATTAAGAATGAACATCGTATTAATAGAACCAAATGCGCAAAAGCTACACTCAAAATTCCATCCGTTTAATTTCAGAATTGTATGGAGTACGCTCTTGTTACCGTAATTTCTGGCCAACCGTATATTCAGGATTGCTACGAATTGCAAGAGGGACCCATGCAGCATCTTTTTGAGAGGTCATTCAAGAAATAATGGTTGGGAAACAGACCAGATTTGGCTAATTCCGAATGTAAAGAACTAGAAACAACAAATGACGCGATGCGTACCTCAGAGTAAACATATTTATTCAATGTTTGCTGTGCCAGAAGCCGATAGGGTCTTCGCAAGCCTTTCCATTAATCCCATTTGATTTGTTTCTCCGATTTCGACGCACGTGAAATAGATGCAAGAGTCAGCAATAGGAAACACGCTCCCATATACGCACAAGATTAATACACGCCGGCCGGGACATGAAATGGCTTGAAAATGAAGAATTAGAACTACTGGAAACATCCATTGCAAAGCATCGAATTTTGAGCATAGATAAACAAGTCACTTATATGGTTATAAACATGAAACAATGTTCGGAGCTCTGAATATAAATCCGAAAGAGCAGAGGGTTTTCAAAGGTTATGAGATCTGTAGCTGGGCCTTTTTTTGTTTTAGAATTGTAATTTATATAAGAAATTTGGTAATTTATATGAAGAATTTGGAAAAAAAATATATAAGAAATTTATCAGTCGGATTTTGGAGTGCTACCCCCATCAGACAGCTCCAACAAGAGCCCGGGATCGGGAAAGAAAAAGTGGGGGGGGGGGACATTAAGAGGCGCCTCACCGCTAAAGCGATTATAGAAGTTCCTCAAGGCCAACCGAGCTTTATGCTCACCGGACGTCGGTACGGGTGTACCAGACATCTTTGAGAGAAGCGAAACATCCACTCGAAGTCTCACTTTATTAACAAGCACTCATACTAGTCCACAATTTTGAAGTTAAGTCGCATGCGCGGCTTAGTCCGAAACGTTTGATTATTCTCAACTGTCAGTAGATTCCATGTCTGGTCTTCTTGAACATTATCATTGTCATAATCAACTGTATTCTTTCTTATTGCATACGACTGATCGCCCCCTCCTCCCCACCATGTCGGGGTGTTAAAAAATTTGACATATTTTCCTTGTTGGCAACCAGAAAAGAAGTCGCTATCTCAACACCAGCAAGCGCTTAGGAGACCCTCATACTGTGGGCTTGTAAACATTATATTATCGTATGTTCTGTGCATGGATTGAATCAGGAGGGTTTTACAGATGTAAGCCCCGACCAGAAGATATATCCTTCCGGCGCTCCCTCGTATCACCTTCCCGAACCTTCCTTCCTACTTGTACCCTTTTAATTGTTCCGAAGACGGACAACTTTATTGACGTCTTGCGAAGCGGGGAGCGCAAATCCCCTTGGAGACTACGAAGTCGAGCGCGATGACTCAGAGCCCGCAGGCTGAAAAACACCGCTATTCTGCGGCCAGACCACCACAATCGCCCGGAAGTCGTTATGTGCTTACATGTACGTATGTCGATAGCGGTGATATGCCGCATAGGGCCCACTTTTGTTTTATCTACGTAGTAACAATAGCCCTTGTCCTGTCTCATTTTTCAGTGCGGTGACAGTTGATTATATTTCATCTCATGATGTAGTGATTCATAGCCCAATAAATCTCTTCAAATCTACTTGGTTGCCATAGGGTAGAAATGGTGCAGAGTTCTCAGGGAAGACCTTATAGAGTAGGGTTAGCAGAGTGGAGGCAGTCTGAGTTGCATTTTGTCTTTATGTTGAAATAGGCTATCAAAGGCAATTTACCAGCTTTCTTCACCAAATCGCCACTGTTGGGAAAAGAAGTTGGTTGGAGACCGCTCATTAAAGGAATCCTCCACGGGAAAAAGCTCTGCCCTCATTACCACAAAAAACGATACCTTAAAGGAGTCTTCCACGGAAACAGTGATCATTTTGTCTCGTGTATAGGATTAGTATGATCGAAACTAACGCTTATAAGTTTTTTTGCTATGCTCATGAGGCTAGGGTCCTATGGGGTATCGTTTTT